CTAACTAGTGGTTGCTTGCAGCCTTGTTGGAAGCGAAAATGTTTAAAAAAAAAACAAAAAAAAAAAACTGCTTTCGGCGCATCTTCAATACACACACACACACACACACACACACACACACACACACACACACACACACACACACACACACACACACACACACACACACACACACACACACACACGCACACACACACATACACACACAGACACATATACACACACAGACACACACAGCAAACCACCTATGTGAGGTGAAAGTACCTAGATTACTGGGAAAAACTAGGGGCAATTCACCTGCGTGAGGTTAATTGCCCCTAGATTAATGGGAAAAAAATTGAAACCAAACTATTTTATTCGAGAAAAGAAAAATGACTTTAAAATTTTCCTATTTTTTTTACCTAAAAATGAAATAACAGTTTTCCAAAAGTTGTTCATTTTTACAGTACAAAATAAGACTCATAGATGCTTAATATTAATTTGAAAAAGTTAATTCTTCAATATTTATTTTACATTCTGGATGGTCTGGACTTAACTTGTAACTATGGCACTGAGTTCCAAATTCATGATGAAAGCGTTCAACAAATTGTTTACTGTATTGTCTAAGTAAGCATCTTTTCAAGTCAATGAACTGTTTTACATGGTAAAAAACAGCATAAAGTGACTGTTCCAATTTGAAAAGCTAAATATGAGTTCTTGAATTGGTCAATCCATTCACCAAAACCATCCATAAGGTGGTTTCCAAAGCAAGATGCCACAACAGGCTCAAATATTTTAAAAGCATCAATTATCTCAAAAGTATGAAAAACTGCTTTACTTTCAGCCATCTGTTGTAATTTCCAATTTTTGCGTTTTGGACATCACCTCCAGAGGCAACAACTGATGGTATGATGCTTGAAATTTTTCAAAGTTCCACAATTTTCAAAAAATTTGGAGTTTACATCACACCGTGTGCACGAGTGACCACTAACATGGAATTGCAAGCCATAAAGAATATTAGCTTCAGATCACAAGCAATGGAAAATATGACATCCTAGGTGGCAACGAGTGACCGCATTTTTTCACATTTTTGTAGTTTTCTGGCAGGTTTTTACAAACTGCTAAAAGAATATGTGACTTTGCACTTATATCTTTAGAATGGTTTTGTGCCAGGAGTCGCTTGGAAGTAGGATCAGAGCTTGTGGAAATGATATGAAGGAAGACTTTTAAAAAACCACCTCTAATTAAGACTTTCTTGATAGTAGAAGCAAGTTTCTTCAACATTTTACAGGCCTGTGTTTAGCTGTACTTGAATAAGATTTTAAATTGTTGATACTGGTTCATCATAAAGATGTCTAGAACTTGGGGGGTCTTTTATGTGGAACAAGAAAATATAAAATTTCGCTCTAGAACTTCACAAACTAATAAAATAAAATAAAAAGAAAGCTTTCAAAGTAGATTTTTACAAAAAAAAAAAAAAAACTAAAAGCAAGAGTTCCTATATTTATCTTTTGTAACAATATAAACATACCTGGAGTCTAAGGAAATGATGGCCCTCCATTGGTTCAGGCAATGCAAATAGTTCCATGGGTGAAGCCTCTTTGGTAGCTATGTCATTGGAAGCAATTTAATATGCTATTTTTACATTTTTGAATACTAGCTTTTTCATATTTTCTCTGAAAGTGTATTAACTGCAGATATGAGACAAGTTGAACATGATGTCGCATACAAGATGTCGCATAGTTGGATCAAAATACGAATGCGCTTGTCCTAAATTTGCGATCTGGACCCCAAACTATTTTGTTCGGATGTTGAGTTCCCGGTTATTATTTAAAAAAAATTTTTTCTTATAGTTTTGATAAATCTGCGTACTACAATTTGATAAAATGTTAAAATTTGAAGCTTTATTTTATTTCAAAGCAATTTTAAAATCCAATTTTAAAATGATTTTTTAAGATTTTACAATCAATTAATTCTGTTTGGGAGTATTTCTATGGTATTTCTGTGGTGGTAGGGCTATAAAAAAAAGATTTTTTGAGAAAATTGGGCCCATAATTTTTGTGTGTAAAAACGGTAATAGAAATGATAACAACATCTTTTTAGTAAAAAGTTTAAAAAAAATTATTACTACCAATTCAAAATGGCCGAAAAAATATTGAAATTTGCACAGTTTAAGTGCTTTTTTGTAACAACATAACTTCATAGAGAATAAACAATTTCTAATGGCGTTTGGTAGGATTAAGTATTATGATTATATAAATCATTTAACTGTAGGACTTTTTATAAAAAATCAGAATATTGCAATGTCAAGAAATCACGTTTTGAAATTAGCCGAAGAAAACAAAATTTGAAACGCTTTAAAAACCAATTAAACAAAAAAATAATTAAAGAAGTAAAAAACACGTTTTTCAAATAAATTTCAAAACAAGATTTATACTTTCCAAGTATAGCTTTTAAATAGAGCAATATAAAGGAAATTTGACAAAAATAGTAAGAAACAAAAATTCTTTAAGGTTTGAGAATAAATGGGCTAACAAAATGAATCACGGTAACTAAGGACGTTGCTATGAAAATTTAGAATAACCTATATGTGTTTATTGGTTAAGAAAAGCACAAATATATTATTATACCACTTTTTTAATTTTTCAAGCACAAGTATATATACTAAAAAATATAATTATAAGAAAAAAAAAATTTTCAATGTTTTAAAAATTTTATGATTTTTTATAGCCATTTGTGCAAAGTAAACAAAGCTGCTATATAAAAAACGTGTAATGTCATTAAAACAAGCAAAGGAGGCTGTATAAATGTGATGCAAAAGCATATAAAGATAAAGTCTAAAATAAAGTTTTCATTATTACTGTCTACAAAAAGAGTTCAAAGAACTTCTCAAAAAGATATTAGAAATACAAAAGTATAAGGTACCACTGGCACTATACTAACAGATCTTATCGCAATAGATGGAATCTCATTTAGCATTGTTGCTTAAAGTAAGAGATTCCATTAATTTGCTTTAGCTAAATGACACAAAAATACCTTTTTGTTCAGTTTCTATTAAAATATTTTAGCATCTCATGTTATTAAAATGTTTCTAATAAGAAATATTTCATCAAGGCATTTAGGCTCGATTGGCTGAGACCTGAAAGCGATTTAACTCAACTATTTATGAATACATTTCAATTAAAACAAGTCGTTATATGAACATTACTTTGCACTCAGACGGATGTCTTTCTAATCTCGGATATGTATTTGTTGTTGGGAATATACCATCTGAAAAAGTTGTCACGATAGCGAATTAAAGGTTAATAATGGTATTTTTTTTTTTTTCAATTGTTTTTACAATATGTAAAGCCAACTGAAGTTTTAGACCATAACTATAATATTGATTATAATAATAATAGTAATGACAATCGAATGCATTGAATTTAAAAATAGTTCAGAAGAATCTGTTGTTGTAAAAAAAAAAATTATTTGTTAAAAAAGTTTTAACAACACTATTTTTTAAGCAATATTAAAGTTGCTTAAAAAACCATCAGCTTTTTTAGTAAAGAGAAAGTTCGACTAAAACATTGACATCGACAGAAAACATCAGATGCTTTTAAAGTAAAGAGAAAGTTCGACTAAAACATTGACATTGACAGAAAACATCAGATGCTTTTAAAGTAAAGAGAAAGTTCGACTATAACATTGACATTGACAGAAAACATCAGATGCTTTTGAAGTAAAGTCAAAAATAGCAGTTATATTGTTAGCTAAAGATCTATTACTTAGACTTTAACCTCAAACAATTGAAAAAATGTGTAGAATATAGTGAAGCTGATTTTGAAAATTCAGTAGAAAAAATATTTTGATAACAAAATAAAGATAGAAAAAGCTAAACAAAGTACTGAATTAAAGCAAGGCTTTAGAAAGATATCAATATAAAATCTCTCAATAAAGAATTTTCAGTGTTTGATTCAAAAATGTTCTAAATTAAAAATTCTGTTTTAGTGATCGAACCTAATCAACCAACATCAAAACTAATCAACCAACATCGATTGAGAGTGAAAGAGCTTTTAGTTCGTGCGGATTGTTTGTAACCAAACTTAGGAACAGCCTAAATGATAAGACTATTGATACACAGAGACGATTTTAGGGAAGGGGAGAGGGTAGAGGAGGAAGGTGTGCTCAAATAATAAAACTATTGATACCTTATGCTTTTTAAAAGTTACTAAAAAAATAAAGTGATAAAAATAAAAATTGAAACTAAAATAGGGTTGCTAATATGAAATTCTATAAAAAATTCATTTCACACGTTTACAGTTGGCTTTATAATTCTAAAATTACTGGCTTTATAGTCCTAATATTAATAAAAGATCTTTGCGTAAAATTTTTTTGTTTTTGTTTATAAGTTAAAATTGGATCTTGAACCAAATATTAAAAATCCGGACAGGATTCTGATCTGGATTATAAGTACTTTGCAAGACCCACTATATTTTATCGCTTGTAACTATGCGTTACAAGCGATAAAATATGTTGCTATCGATACAATCTATTTATCGCAACAACATCAACAGATAAAAATCATAACCAAGAATTTTTTATGTGCCGTGGTTTTCCTTTGTAAATAGTTTAATTCCAATTTAAACCTAATTGCCCAATATTTAGTTCATGCTTAAGTCTAGTTTTTATATAACAGGTTCCAAACATTAAAAAAGAAGTTGTTTGAAAATATGTCAACTTAATAATAATTGAAGCAAATTTAAAAAAAATAATAATAATGTATTGTTTTGTAAAAGAAAAAATAAACTGTATAAAAAAGACAGATAAGGATATTTTTATGTGGTATATAAGACCATAAAAATTAAAAGGTTTGTAAACAAGAATATAATGAAAGACTCTTTTTTCTTAATCTAATGTTTTATAGTTATGACAATATTGGTGTCTACGTCCAGTATTATCCCTAATATTTTCCTTAACATATACATTATTTAACTTATAAATAACGTAAAATAACTAGGTAACATAAAACAAACATAACAATGTACACAATTACTTATACTTTTAATCTCACCCACCAATTATTGTAAGTTACAAAGTAGAAGTTATGAAAGCATAATTTTTTTAATCAAAAAAATACAGTTTTTGGTTTATTTTGGTTACACTATTCGAATGTTATGTTTATTTGCATTATTTTGTTAACATATATTATGATATAGATAACATTTTTATATCGACTATTAAAATATCAATTTCTATTAAATTGTATTAATAAACATGTGTTTACGATTTTCTCTTTTTCTGGTCTCTAAGTTCATGGGCATTTCAAATGACTTCATTTTAAGAAGAGTGTTATCTATAAGAAGCATCATATTTAAGTTTCTCAATCTGCGAAGATCAATTTCTTGTTTCTTGCATTTCTCAGCATATACAGCAAGTTTGTCCTTTGATTTTTCAAGCGCATTTACTAATTCAGACTGATAGGTTTTATCACAAGAAATTTTTTCTAATTGCAAAAATGAATCATTTAGGATCGTGGAGCAGTGCGACGTCACAGATTCTTTTATTGACTTTGGTGATGCGAATATATGAGGTTTTGTACTCTTGTTGATTAAATTTTCTTTTGAGGTTTCGTCTAAAATCTTTTTTTTTCTAAATCGAAAATAAACAACAATTTTTTGAATAAAAAAAAAATAAAAAAAATTTAAACAATAAAAAATTTAAGAAACACAATTTTTTATGAAATTTATTTTTATCAAATGGTTTAGAATTTTGTTGGAAACTGATTGACCAGTTGTTTTGATTTATGACCCTATATTTTAGAGGAGCCTCAATATAGCCTAAACGCTTAAAATAAGATTTTTTATTTCCCTTATTTTTCTCATATTGCATTTTTTTATTAACTGTTTATCACTATAAAAGTTTTTGTAATAAACCTAGTAGGTTCACATTGGTGAAGCCAGTTATAATAAACCTAGTAGGTTCACATTGGTGAAGCCAGTTTTCTTAACGTGGCATATACCAACCATTTTCTTAATACGCTATAGAATATGTATTTAATACGCTTTATGTTGAGTGAAAGGATTCTACTTTTTCATAACATAAAGCTTTCTTGTTTTTTAAATAATATATTTTAATTCTTACCCGGTAGTTTTGTTTCTTAGAAGTTCTGTAATCTCTTTCACTATTTGTGAAGCTCCTATCAGGGAAATGTCATTTTTTTGATTAATAAAAGGTTGCTTTGAACGACAAGTAGGACATGTTAAATCCCATTTTCCGTCTTTGTTTCTAATACAAGCTAATTCCAAGCATAGTTCACAAAATGTATGTTGACATACGAGCGTTTTTGGATTTTTAAATATTTCAAGGCATATAGCACATTGACATATCTTCTCCAAAATATCTTCCATGGTACCTTTCAAAACCATAATTTACAAAATCCTTAAATGTAAGTTTACGCTTTTTAAATGTTGAATGAATAAACTGAATATCGTTATCAATTTCAATACCAATATCAATAAACTTGATTGATTTTATCGATTGATAGTTTTTTTTTCAAATACTGTAATGACTTTTAAGTTATTTTGTTGTTCTTTTTAAACAAGATTCAAAATTTGGATGAAATTTAATTAAAAATAAAAATAATTTTATCAGAAATAAAACAAACTTTCCAGTAATATTAACAAGACCAGAATATAAAAAACAAAAATATTATATTTCCAGATTTGATAAAAATCTATCCTATTCAAATCCAATCCAAAGTTTTTTTTTTAAGATTTAATTTTATATAAACATTTGAAACAAGCGTCTATACATCTTTCGATATACTGTAATAAATTTTTTATTAAAAAAATATTTTACAATGCTTTATTTTGCTTGCATACTTCATTAATTATTTGTTGACTTTAGAAGTTTCCATTTAAATTAATTATTGATTTTTTTCTTATTCGTCTTTTGTCTCATTCAGTTTTAGTTTTCCATTATTAGTTTTTGTTTCCATTATCTTTTTTTTTCTCGTATGCTTTTTATCTTGGTAATGCTCTCTTTTAATCATGGCAATACTCTCTACCTAATTTTTTTTTATCTCGGTAATGCATACTAAGTTTTGCTCTACCTAATTTTTTTTTATCTCGGTAATGCATACTAAGTTTTGCTCTACCTAATTTTTTTTTATCTCGGTAATGCATACTAAGTTTTGCTCTACCTAATTTTTTTTTATCTCGGTAATGCATACTAAGTTTTGCTCTACCTAATTATTTTTTATCTCGGTAATGCATACTAAGTTTTGCTCTACCTAATTATTTTTTATCTCGGTAATGCATACTAAGTTTTGCTCTACCTAATTTTTTTTTATCTCGGTAATGCATACTAAGTTTTGCTCTACCTAATTTTTTTTTATCTCGGTAATACATACTAAGTTTTGCTCTACCTAAGTGTTGGAGTAGCTCAAGATTGCAGTAATCTTCATATTAATATCCCTACTTAACAAAAACTTAAAATATCTCTCTATTTGGTATTGCAATACTTTCAGATTTCTCTCTACTCATTTACAATACTCTCAAAATTCTCTTTACTAATTTTACGCAACCTAAAACATATTCATTCATTGTTTCCGTTTTTTTTAACTTACTAGTTCTAAATAAAAAATTATAAATTAAAAACACTGTGAAGGGTTTTACTGTAAAACATTCAAATGAGAAAGAATTGAGCTCTTAAGTCTGTAGCTTTTGTTTGCAAAAAACTGAGACAACATCATTGAAACCGTAAGAACCATTGAAAAAAATAATCATAAAGTGACAGATTTTTTGCAAATTATCTACATGCTGAAATAAAGGGTCCTAATAAAAACAAAACATTCCAAAAATAATTATATTAAGGTTTGATTTTACATACTAGTTGTTGTTGGCCTTAAAATCTAAAAATACTGTTAAAGTAGTTTTACATGTACACGCGTACACGACAAACTACTTAAAAAAGTTACCCAACAATTTTTATTCAGAACTAAGTAATAATTTTATTAAATTAATAAAGGAAGATAAAATGTTTTAAAGAAATAATTTATTCCAGTGGATTTCTAATAAAGTTTGCTTTTGTGATACCCATAAGCTTGTATACAGAAGAACAATCAAAACTATATGATGCTTTTATTAAATGAAATTTTTAAATCTTTAACGTTTCTGCATAGTTTTTTTTTTTCATTTTTAGTTTAATACCTATGTAGTATTTTCAAATAATTATAAAATTTGAGTGAATGAATTTACGAATGCAACACTGAGTGTGGCTTTTAGAGCCATATAGAGTGGTGTAGCCGGCGTCGACACTCAATGTTGTATTCTACGCGTTTGCGGCCGTGGCGCAGTGGTTAGAGCGTTTGCTTTACAAGCAGGAGATCCAGGTTCGAAACGAGCCTTGGACATATTTCGCGTCACGGTAAGGAAGGAAGCGCGAACATTCTGGATAAATGCACTTTCGCGGTGCTTTGTGACAAGACCGTTAGGTCTTCTTGGGGCACCTAAATAACAAATTAAAAAAAAAAAAAAGTGTTTACTGTTTTAAACTCAACTTTTACGTCATTTTGTTTATATCATTTCATAGCATATACTATAATGACTTGAAGTAAATCAGGTTAGAATACTTGTCTACATCATATCAGAACACATGTCTACAAACATGTGATTTAAAGAGAGTTTTAGTAAACACTCTTTAACGTTTTACCAGAAAGTGTTGACTCAGAAATATAGGTTGCAAATTATGTGATAGAATAATTAAATAAACAAATAGATGCAAATAATTTGCTAAATCAAGGCTTTTTTAGCAAACTTGTCATGTTTTGTGTATTTAAATTTCTAATCTGCCTTTTCTCTATACATGGCAATATAATAGACAGCTCAAGGAATTAGCTGATAAACCTAGTTGAAATAAGTTTTGTCGTCTTTAATAATACAGTAATTTTGAAAACAAAATTGTCATATAAATTTCTGCAGCAGGTTCTTCAGATTCTTCAGCAAGTTCTTTTTTTTTTTTTTTGAATTTCAGAACGGTTGGACACTTTTTGAGATTTGAAAAAATGAAGACCATGTTTATTTCAAGTTTTTACTAAGTATAAAACATAGAAACTATGAGAAAATCTACATCTTTTTAATGAAAGGGTTGAGTTAATCTTAAAACGGTTAATCAGTTTATATCTTGAAAATAGGGATGTACCGAAGCTTCGGCTTCGGCTTCGGCATGCCGAAGCTTCGGCAATTTTGCCGAAGCTTCGGTTCGGCCGAAGCCAGGTCAAATTTTTGCCGAATCTTTGGCTTCGGCAAAAAATTTTAAGTAATTAAAGTTTTAAGTAATTAAAGTTATAAATTAAGTTGTAAATTCAGGACTACAGAGTTAAAGTTGGAGTCTATACCATATACTTAGTATTATTTACTCCCAAATGTCTTGTTATGGAGAGGATGATAATAAATAAGTAGAAATTTTTTGAATATAATAGTAAAATTAAGGAAGGTCTTTATACACTTTGAAGGCTTCCAAGTGTAACTTAGATGAACTGAATTAGCATTTTTATGCAGAATAAAAACCTTATAATTTAAAACAAATTAAAACTTTTTAAAATAAAATGGAAAAAAAAACCTTAATTTGTATTATGTAACGAGTTTATATTAATTTTTGTGTGGGATTACCGCAAATAGAACAAAAGTTGGTTTCAACATTTAACCTATAAACCTTAGTAATCTCACTTTAAAGAAGATTAAAAATACGTTGCTACTATTTTAAATTCTGCGTATGTTAAATTTTATTTAACCATAATAATAAAAATTTACAAATTTTCATCGTAAGATTACAGAAATTGGTAAGGTGTCACTTATATAGTTACAAACTAGTCAATGGAGTGACACATAAAAAACATAAAGTTCTCAACAACAAAAAAGGAAGAAATGCAAATGAAATATAAATGAGGAGAATAAAAAAAGAAAAAAAAAGTCAACCAAAACTATATAAATTAAAAGAAAAAGAAAAACAATGATAATAATTATCCTTGCTCTTTTATTAATATTATGAATACTTCTAAATTGAATTTATATATTAAACATATAAACTTATATTCTGGTTTCTTCTTATGATATGAAGACTTTTAAATTTTATTTAAAATAAATTAAAGGTTAAAGCTTTGATTACTTTGAGCTCTTATATTTATCATCAAAATTTATTTAAATTAAATAAACAATTAAAATCAAATAAATATCAGCCTGCTCAGTCCCTGTTTATTTATAAATATAAAGTAAATAATAATATAATTATAAATAAAATATTTATAAAGTATTCTATTTATTATTTTATTTAAAGCTCACTCTACTGAGTTGTTAGATTACTATAGAAGTTTTTGTCACAGATAGTTTGATTTCAGATACTGGTGCAGATTTATCCATTACAGAGACAGAAGAAGAATGAATACTATAATTTCAGAGTGTAAAAGATTAAAAGAAGCTTAAGAAAATGTTATGTAGTGAAAAATTAAAAATAATAATAAAAAAAAACAACAACTTAAAAGTGTGTAAAAAAGAAGTTAGAGAGAAATCTATCAATTGTACTTTTTTTTAGCAGCAGGTTCACAACAGCTCTAGTGGAATACAAAATGGTCTTAACTTAGGGTTTTTTTTAGTTTAGAAATTTTTCGTTTAATGAATACAGAGAAGTAAAAAAAAGATCTTGAAATAAATAGCAATAAAAATATAAAGTGTGTTTGTAAGATTTTTTATGTTGTAGATACAACTAGATCAGCTAAGAGTGTTAAATTAGAGAAAGAGTGTTCAAATGTAAAAAATTAATTTACTTGAGTAATATTCAGAGATTTTTATCCACTCTTAACAAAAGGTGCATTAAAAATAAAAATAAAATATACAGCACATGAAAAGATGCGTAACAGTAATTTATGGGGAATAAAATTTGAGGATGTTGAGCTAGAACACTATAATTAGATAGAGCAAACAAGATGATTAAATAGAGGATTAAAAATTAGATGATTAGATAGAAGATTAAAGAGAAACGATGTTTACATAAAAGAACAGTATGGCTATCAAAAAAATAGCAATAATCTTTAAAGAATATTGGGAATAGTTGGAAATATATGTGAGTTAATGATATTGTGCACTATATAGCATTAATATGGTTTGCACACAGAAAAAGTAGAATTAGAAGTAGGAAAATTTGGGGAAAATGTTTCAAAAAAGCTTAAGTTTTAAAAAAAAACACTAGGTGCGGTGAAGTATCAGAAACGACATAATGAGAAACTTTTAAACAGGGGCGCTGAGAGCTTTTGCCCTGCCTGGGGCAGCAACCCTGACTTGTGTCCTCATTTTTATACATTTTTTCTATATTATTAGTCAAGGATCTTAGTTTTGGAACCTTTTTTGTTTTACACTCCTGCTGATCTGAATGCTGATTAAATTTCAAGCATATATAGTGCCGAAGCTTCGGCTTCGGCCGAAGCTTCGGCTTCGGCAAAGTGGCTTCGGCCGAAGCTTCGGCTTCGGCAAAATTTTAGCTTCGGTACATCCCTATCTTAAACAGGCCGCGACAGCTCATTTTCCGTAAAATTAGCGAAGGCCGATTTTTTTACGGAGAAGTATAGTTT